CAGGACGCTGTTACTCCTGCTCCCTTTCTGATATTCAGACCCTTGGAGACAGCATTACGAGCCAGCTGGAAGGCATCCAGGAACGCCAAAGAAATGGCTGCTGGATATATGAGACCTACTGTGCATGTCCTGGAGAAGTGATCTCTGTACATACTATACACTCAATGCATTCAGGACATGTTGACTCGCTGCATATATAGCATAAATGATACATCCACATGCATCAGGCCAGAAATCTTGCAACAAAAAATATTCAGTGTAACCCTGCCTCTAAGGGCATCCAGTTGTTGRCTTGAACAGTTCTCAGCATTATTTTCACTGCTTAGTGTTTCATCACTATMACATCTTTGAACAGAAAGCGATCCAGCTTTAGATGTCAGTCACTATGGTAGTTTTCCAAAGAACTCACAAGGTAATATAAATAAGTGTTGACAAACACTAATATTCATTCAAAACAGCACGTGGTGCTACAGAAAGAAAGGGGAACAACTACTTATTTTGGAAAAGAACATAGCATAAAAACAGAACAGGACTTGGTAAAAGGTGGTTCAACCAATCTAAATCTAGATAATATATACATTTCTTGGAAATGACACTGACAAAATATAGTCCATGCAATGCTGTTTTAAATAGCTTAAAACAAATGCTAATTTAAGCCCACATATATTAAAAAGGCTAGAAGTCACTCAATTTTAATACTTATACCCATAAATATATTAAAAATAGGCAGCTGGTACTATTTTTATACTTTTCATCTTAATTATTCACTAATGCACTCACTTTCATTTTCTGCTTATATACCTGAATTCTGAATTGTTTTCAGTCCCTTATTTAAATTGTTTTCAAGACTGGCAAATTTCTGCTGTTTTTCCTCTGCTTGCACAACACCCACACCATTTAGCACTGCACATCATAGATTCTCTGCTTTTTAATTTCCAAGGCCATCACTATGATCATGAAGCCTGACTCACTGGGCAACACRTGATGCAGAACTTCATTCATTGCTAATGGCAACACAACTCACCACAGAGGTTTCTGTAGCTGTAACCTAGACGCCTTTCCTGATACATAAGCCCTGCTGGCAATATTCCACTTTGCAAGCCCCTACCTGGGCAACAGGAACCAGCACCTCAGAGCTAGAATAACACACACACAGTACATGCCCACTGTGACCTTCCCACATAGGGCTATTTCTGGGCACCTTGCCTGGAGGAGCTGAATGGAAGGATGGTAACAGGAGGGCTGAGCTGGAAAGACATCAAAACTAGAATCAAAGAGGAGGTTTTAACATCAATGTTAAAAGAGACCAAGACAACCACTACTGTATCTGCAAGATAGAAAAAAGCAATGGACCCAGCACCTGGGCTAGCTTTAACACACGAAGGGTTCAGACCATGTCTGTCTCAGATAAAATGTCACAGACTGAGCATGCATCCCCCTGCTTCAGTACCTGCATCTCACATACACAGCACAGATGAAGGAAACTCCATGGTACTCCAGTGCCGYACCACACCTGACGGGGAGATTGCAGAGTGAGAAAAACACTCAAGAGAGGGACCTGAGAACAACATACTAACCAAAGTGATGCTGTGRTCCCTACCAGTCCTATATCCATGCAAATGGAGCTTCACACACAGCCATTCGTGCCAGATGCAAGGCCCTTACAGGATACCTTTTCAGCTGAGTCCTACTACTGCTTTCTCCTCACTGCCTAAACCCCCACTGCCACTTCCTCCACTGCAAACTCCAGCAGGGCCAGCACACAGCCCACAAAAACAAAACTTAGCACAGCTTCTTAGCTTGGGTTTTGCTTCCTTCCTCATCTTTACAGCTGCTCCTACTAATTAGTGGGACACACCTCACCTGAACCCAACAGATGTCAAGTGAAGAAGGAAACCAGTATGGTCAAAACAAGAAGTTGATCCTTAATTACAGTCTATATTCCTATAGCCTACCTTCCTTCTTTAGTTCACAGAATTCTAGGATATTGTCAACCCACAAAAACCAAAAGAACACAGTATGAGCTCTATCCTGCTGTGCTCTCAAGCATAGTAAAGCTGTAAGTGAACTACATGGAAGATAAAAAGGTTCTGAACAGCCAAAATCACTTGGAAGACTTGCACATCAACTCTATTCAATTGCACATCAACTCTATTCAATAATCATTGACTGAGCTCTTTGAAAATAGCCTCCTTTCAAATTTACTCCACTTTGTGGTAGGCCAAGGTCTTGGCCTAGCAGCCTTCAAGGCTCAACATCTGTTTTAAGATCCGATTTTTTTTTTTTTTTTTGAGCAACATGCAATTTATGTCTATTTTTTCCTGGCCAGAGTATTTAAGCACCACTGAACTACTATATATGTAGTAAGGGTCTTTAATTTGTGCTCCTTTTCTTACTTTCAATTTCTGATGCAAAGCTTCTGCACCAGTCACTGAACACTATAATCCATGATGATTTGCTTCTTAACTTGCGTCTTGCCATGAAGTTTCACATCAATTATTTAGACAAGCATGAATCATTAGAATAAAATTCATAATACTGCTCACTGCTCCAGTTAAACCAGACTGGAGACTTGAGCTTGTCTGGATGTGACAATAATAACTTCATAAAGCATAGAAGCAAGAGCCACACTCTAAAACTATATTTGAGCAATGTGGAAGGAAATAACTCTTATTGCAAGCCTAGCTGCTGCACTCCCAGTGTTGCTCTCATGACTTGGAAAGCTCTCAGTCAAATCAAATCACCTGGCTCAACTAAAYCAGAGTTAAAAGGCTGGGCGGAGACTCACACACCAGGGCAAAATTTGCATTATAATGAGACAAAACTTGAGTCAAGATAACAAGTCCATATGTGAACTTTTTCAAGCTAACACAACAGCATCATGTTACTCTGAAGCATAACCTATCCTTTACAGACACATTTTGTAAAATATCACTAAAACATACCTTCATGATCACACMGCTGTGAAAAACCATATTTATCAAAAAACGAGGCAAAGTACTTACATCTGAATTAAGACACAAAAACAATAATTTAAAATTTTAATTTCTAACTTAGTGTTTTAATTTTCTTAGACTAATAGATAGAGACCATATACAAGAGCTGTAGTTGATGCAAATTACCCAGGCAACACCAACATAAAGGAAGCAGGTTAGCCTGTATTTATAGCACCTGGGGCCAAACTCCAGGTGTACTCTGTACATGGAATTACAGCAATCAAGAGCAACAAGGGGTTGAGACATTTATTTTGGGGGGGATAGGAGAGATGATAGGAGATAAGGAAATAAAGTCTAAACATTAGGTAACACTCACTTTCCTCTTAAACTACCTCATTCTGTTAAGCAAACAAGATGTCACTGGAATCATCATCACCTTCTGGACTGGACAACACCTTTATCATACTTAGGAACTGAAAAAAACAACTCCCAAAGAAGCAGCTAAAATTGAAGCAGATGCAACTGTGAACAAAACTCCCCAAACTTGATCAAAAGTTCACCAATGACATTAAGATAGCTACAGACTAGAGAATTAACATYATATAGATATATGCTACAAACCACCTAGTTAGAACCTTCATCAACATCACTTTGATTCCTTACATTAGAACTRGTTGCTAGATAGAAATGGACAAGCATCATCCAGGTGAGTCAGTAAAGCAATTTAATTTTTAAGTGAAAGAACACTTACATATCAAACATTTTCAAAATAAAATGTGTTGTAGGGAAGAATTTTTTAAAAACTAGAAAATGGCAAATTAAGTCTGCTATCACAAAACACCCATTCCTATGAAAATCAAAAAACAGACTTAGGAGAAAAGACTGATAGGTCTAATCATATTTCACTTCTGAAGAATGGCCAAARGTGAACTTCTGAGAAACACAGGTAAGGAAAATAGTGTTAGAGACTGGTCAAATGTTTACTACCTGCCCACTTTTCCATCAAACTCAAAAACAACAGCAACAAAAATAAGTATCCTGTTCTGGTGTGCTTTTCTATTATGCTGTTGCAGTTTAATGAAGTGACTTGTGGAAAATGAAGTAGGAAGGAGCCCGAGAAACCCTAGCACTCAACTACTGTGTTTCTGCATAACCGTGACTGCATCACGCCGCTCCGGTAGACTTACGCGGCTGGGGTGAAGGCAGCTCGGAGGAGAAGGCAGCTTTCCCCGCTACGTGCCGAGGCTGCTCCGGTGCCGGCCGCCCAGAGCCGCCTGCGGCTACGCAGCTTCAACGGCCTCCCCTCGCGGAGAGGCTGCTGCGAACGCGTGAAGGAGAGTGAAGAGCCAGGGGTGCGGCCTCAGCGGCGTCCTTGAGGCGTTTGGCGGTGACGGCCCCTCAGCCCTTCTTTTGAACTCGCCTCCGGGAGCGGCGGGGGCGGGCCCGCCGCCGGCGGGCACGGCTGAGCGGCGCCCAGGGCGGGCAGGGCGCGGGCCGCGGACGCCGGCAGAGGCATCGCCATGCCGAGACCGTCTCACTGACCAGCGCCTACAGGCGCCGGGCTGCGGGGCCCGGGCGCAACCTCGCGCCCGCCCGCCGCCCGCGGGCGCGCTGCGGCTCCGGGCAGCGCCGCCCGACCACTGCCGTCATGGCGGAGCCAGCGCCTCAGCGCGCCGGCTTTTCAGGCCGCGCCCCGCCCCAACTCCAACGGCCGCCGCGCCCCGCCCCTAACGGCCGCTGCGCTCCGCCCCTAACGGCCGCCGCGCCCCGCCCCTAACGGCCGCCGCGCCCCCCGGAAGCTCATTGGTCGCTTCCGCCTCGATATAACGTGCTGGCGTGACGACGCGCGCGAGTGCTCCAGGCACTTCCGCTGCCATTGGCTGAGCAGGTCCTTTCCCAGCTGCCCCCGCGCGGCCCCGCCCCCGCTCAGAGCCGGCCGGGGGACGCCGCGCCGCCATTTTGCGCCTCGCGCGGTGGAACCGCCGGCGGCGGCCGCAACGGCTGGCGGGGCCCGGGAGCGGCCCGCGGCGCGGCCCGGCCTTTTAGAGGGGTTTTAAATCCGCTCCGGGGAGGGGGCTCCGCGCCCCGGCTGTGTTTTAACCCGCTATGGCAGCAGAGGGAGGCGCCGGCGACCAGGTGAGCGGGAGGCCGCTGAGGGGGCTGCGGCGGTCGAGCGGC